TGTGTGTGTGTGTGTGTGTGTGTGTGTGGGTGGGTGTGAGTAACCCCACAGACAAAACCTCCACATTGGAGCCTCCCATACACCAGACATTTGAAGGAGTGACAGATCTCTCTGTGTGCTAGGATGGATCTCAGACAAAACAAGCTAGTCTTGAAGGGAATGGGCAGATGAGCCAATCCCCAAGTTAACCTAAATTGCCTTGATGTGAGTGTAAAACATTCATCGGTTTGTCCTTACTTCCTCCCAGATCTGGTAGTGACTGAGAAAACATCCTATCTCGCCCATAGTCATCGGCCTGTGGAGGACAAAGAGAAACGGGACAAGACGGTGGTGAACAAAGAGAAACGGGACAAGACGGTGGTGAACAAAGAGAAACAGGACAAGACGGCCGCGTCTCCAGGGAGCAACTCTTACACAACTGCCTGACTCTTGACAGGAAGGTGTTTGGGTCCCCCAACATTGCAACATTAACGCCATCAACTTCAATCTAATGAGCATTCTCTACAACATACTGGACATTTCTTTACCAACTGTAAGTACCAAAATGGTTGATTCAAGAAAACATTTCCAAAATAAGAAAAAAATTGTAGCACTAGAATAGAGTAGAAAGAGTCCTAAGGATAACAGATGAGTGGTACAGCAACATCCACATCATCTACAGCAACATCCACATCATCTACAGCAACATCCACATCATCTACAGCAACATTCACATCTCTCTAATGTACCCACATCATCTACAAGAGTGGGGGGGGGGGGCATCGCTGTGTGACCTCGCTGACCCCAAGCACTGCAGGGGGGGTGGGGGGTGGGGGTGTGGGGGAGAGGAGGGGGGGCATCGCTGTGTGACCTCGCTGACCCCAAGCACTGCCGAGCCACTCACCTGCCGTGGTATGGGTCGGCAAAACCTGGCAACATCTCGATACCTTTCTGCTCCAAGAATGTGTCGTTCAGTTCTCTGTGGATGACACACGAAGACACACTACAGCATCTTCTTGACACAACGAGACACACTACAGTTGACACACAGAGACACACTACAGCTGACACACACAGAGACACAGCACAGCAACTCCTTGACACACAGAGACACACTACAGCTGACACACACAGAGACACAGTACAGCAACTCCTTGACACACAGAGACACAGTACAGCTGACACACAGTACAGCTGACACACACACAAACACAGTACAGCTGACACACACACAGTACATCTGACACACAGTACATCTGACATACACAGAGACACACTACAGCTGACACACACAGAGACACACTACAGCTGACACACACAGAGACACATTACAGCTGACACACACAGAGACACAGTACAGCTGACACACACACACAAACACAGTACAGCTGACACACACAGAGACACAGTACAGCTGACACACACACAGACACAGTACAGCTGACACACACACACAAACACAGTACAGCTGACACACACAGAGACACAGTACAGCTGATACACACAGACACAGTACATCTGACACACACAAACACAGTACAGCTGACACACACACAGACACAGTACAGCTGACACACACAGACACAGTACAGCTGACACACAGAGACACAGTACAGCTGACACACACAGAGACACGGTACAGCTGACACACACACAGACACAGTACAGCTGACACACAGAGACACACTACAGTTGACACACAGAGACACACTACAGCTGACATACAGAGACACACTACAGCAACTCCTTGACACACCGAGACACAGTACAGCTGACACACAGAGACACAGTACAGCTGACACACACAGAGACACGGTACAGCTGACACACACACAGACACAGTACAGCTGACACACAGAGACACACTACAGTTGACACACAGAGACACACTACAGCTGACATACAGAGACACACTACAGCAACTCCTTGACACACCGAGACACAGTACAGCTGACACACAGAGACACAGTACAGCTGACACACACACACACAAGACACAGTGCAGCTGACACACACACACACAGACACAGTACAGCTGACACACACAGAGACACACTACAGCTGACACACACACAGACACAGTACAGCTGACACACACACAGACACAGTACAGCTGACACACACACACAGACACAGTACAGCTGACACACACAGACACAGTACAGCTGACACACACACACACAGAGACACAGTACAGCTGACACACACAGAGACACAGACACAGTACAGCTGACACACACACACACACACACAGACACAGTACAGCTGACACACACAAACAGACACAGAAAAGCTGACACACACAGAGACACAGACACAGTACAGCTGACACACACAGACACAGTACAGCTGACACACACACACAGACACTGTACAGCTGACACACACACACACAGACACAGTACAGCTGACACACACACACACACAGAGACACAGTACAGCTGACACACACACAGACACAGTACAGCTGACACACACACACAGACACAGTACAGCTGACACACACACAGACACAGTACAGCTGACACA